AGAGAGAGAGAGAGAGAGAGAGAGAGAGAGAGAGAGAGAGAGAGAGAGAGAGAGAGCCCAAGCTCCCCACCATGACGACGCTGACTGATGGAAATGAGGATGAGAGAGAGAGAGAGGTAGGCGTTGGACTTATAGTAAGGAAGTAGGAGGCTGCAATCAGACTCGTTCTCATTCACACTTTTCATACATGTAAACAGTAGTGCAGCAAACTGGCGACATGCGCCCACTCAAAACTCAGAGACATAGCATCCAGATACGAGTTCACTTTCCACTGGCTATGGCGACTCAGCACCCAAACAACTCACTGCTCACATACACTGGATCACCCCTGGATATTCCACGCGCTAACCTCTGAACTCTCACACACACACACTGCACTCATCTACAGCTATGACGGCACTAGCCGCTGCTACCCTATCGCTATGCCAAGCTCCTCCTCTCTCGCCCACTGCGTCCTCCGGGCTCACTGCAGACCTCCTTGCACAAGTCGCTGTGGCAGCACTTCCGCATGGCTCACGCAGGAATGAATGAATGGCTCGGCGCTGCCTTTTGATTTTACTTCTGAAGTTCGGTGGTCTGCCCTTTTCCATCGGCCCATGGTGCTCACAGTCCCTCTTGGTACTTGCTGGACCGAACTGGGACTGACTGGACCTTACCGCTGACTGACTGTGGACTCACTGCTATCCTACCGGGTTTTACTGCGATTGCACTGCAGTTTAGTCCACCACTTGGCTCACCACTTGCCCACTTGCTGAGCTTCTAGAAGGACTACAGCTAGACTTCTGGAACTCACTCAGACTTCTACTCTACAGACCTACAGATGCAGACCCCAGGGTTCAAGCCTTGGGGCCGACACAGATACTGTACATCAGTAGGGTGAGGTCAAGGGATCGAACTCTGGGGTCTGCATCTGCTACTGCAAAGAGGTGAAAACCGTTTCACTCCCGCCGTCCTAAATTCGAGGTCCTCTGAGAATATTTCAGTCCAAGGCAGGACCTTTACCTTTCCTATCGCGCTCATAGGCTCTAACTATGTCGGGAGCTGTTTCTAGAAGTTCTGATCTTGTGAACCAGCGGTCATCCTCCGGTTCCTGATAAGCAAACCGGACCTTATACTGTTTCTGCGGACGACCTCTACCTCCTGTTCTGAATAAATCTTGACCTACAATGCCCTCAATGTCATAGCTTCCATCCATATCCGGAGGGATCATGGATCTTCTTGAAGGGAACTGTCCACTTGTGACACACGGCAACAACTTTGAAGCGTGGAACACAGGGTAGGTGTGGAGGTGTGCTGGAATCTCTATACTGTAGGACGGTCCATCCTCTCCGCCCTTGACTTCTAGAACCGGCCACGGTCCTCTATATGCAGGCAGTAACTCCTCCTCAGGTGCAAACTCTTTAGCTTTGACCTAGACTAAGTCACCTACCTGAAACTGCGACAGGCAACGGTGCTTATTAGCCTGTTCTATCATTCTATGCTGGGCCTTCCTGAGGTTCTCTACAACGGTTGCTAGTTCTTTCTCGTGCTGTATCGCGAACTCCCTAGTACCGGGCGGTAACCTGTGAATCTGATCCCGGTTCAGTCCTTCAAACGGTCTGCGCGGTCTAAAGGACTTGTGTAGCTCATTGGGAGTGCGACAGGTGGACAGATGGACGCTGTTGTTGTATGCACTAGCTACCTTGGGTAACATCTCGTCCCAGTTGATCTGGTCGGGTCTAATGTACATGCGCAGAACTTGCTGTAGGATCTTGTTCATTTGCTCAGTCTGACCGTTAGTCTTTGGATGGCGGCCAGACGACATCAGCAACTTAGGTCCGTAGACTCTCATAAGTTCTTGCCAGTTCTGGCTGGTAAAGCGACTATCTCTATCGCTAACTATTGACAACGGGACTCCATTCTCATTGACCCAAAAATCAAAGAACTTTTGTATAACTAAAGTTGTACGTGCCTCTGCAGGCAAGGGAACAAAAACTGCATATTCACTGAATCTATCGACTATGACCATGACTTGGCTCTTGCCGTGCCTACTCTTGACACCGGCATCCATAAAGTCAATGGAGATTGAGTCTCCCGGCTGGTCTGGAATAGGCACGGGTCTGAGAAGACCTAGAGGGGCACGCGTAGTAGTTTTATTCCTCTGGCACACTTCAACTCCGGACATACTGTATGCAGTCATTCTTCATTCCTGGCCAGGTATACGCATGCATTAGATTGGCTAGAGTCTTTTGCCAACCGAAATGTCCCTCAGTATCGTGGCATTCCCCTAGGATCAGACTGTGGATCTCTTCGCTGTTGGGGACGCACAGGCGGTCGAATACATTAGTCTTCTCAAACAGTAATCCCTCTGTAGTGCGGTAATCTGGCTCAGTCTCTGAGGCCTCTCTAACTCTCTTTAGGCGGTCGCTATAGATAGGGTCCTGCGCATACGCTTGGCTCACTTTCTCCTGCAGGTCTCTCCCTATATCCAGATAGTGTACTATGGCTCCAAAATAGTCTGATCTTCTAGTCAGAGCGTCCGCAACTACGTTGTACTTGCCCTTCACTGGCTTGAGCTCAAAGTCATACTGGTCTATTTCCGCGGCGCACCAAGTCAACTTAGGTGTCATTTTGGCCTGAGTCTTTAACCATCTAAGTGTCTCATGGTCACAATACACTTTGAAGTGCCTCCCAAGCAGATAATGCTTCCAATGCTCTAAAGCCTGCCTGAGAGTGCAGAGTTCTCTCTCGTACGTCGAGGTGGCAACCTTCTCTGAGGGCATCCTCGCTGACATGAACTCTACGGGTCTATAGCCATTGTCGTCGTCTTGCTGTAACACGACGCCTATACCATACTGACTCGCGTCCGTGGTGACGACAAATGGCAAGGACGGATCAGCTACTTTGAGGACAGGGTACTCAATTAGTGCGCGCTTCAGTCTCTTGAGCGCAGATGTACAATCCTTGTCCCATTGCCAGATTGTCTCTTTCTTAAGCAACCTACGCAGGGGAGCGGCAATGGTAGAAAAGTTCCTCACAAACTTTCTGTAGTAGTTAGCTAGGCCTAGGAACGACCGCAACTCTGTCAATGTGCGGGGCGTCCGTCAGTCTCTAATTGCCGCTATCTTGCTGTCATCTGGCTTAATGCCATCTCCGTCTAATACGTGGCCCAACCTCATCTGAAGCCATATCTCAATAAAAGGATTGAAGAGATATGGCCCCAAGGGCCATATCTCAATAAAATCTGAATTAAAAAGCAGAAAATGAAAAAAAATGCAAAAAGGAAGTTGGCGGTTTTCATTTTGACCATGGATCTGAGATCAGATCTCATGGTGGAGAGGAACTAGCCGTTTTTTGTTGGCCAGCTCAAAATGGCTAGCTCCGGAATGAGGTGGCAGCCCAAAATGGAAAGAAACAAAAGAGGGAAAATGACAAAACTATGCATTTGGCCCAAAAAGAGAGCCAGATGCACCAAAAATTGAAAAAGTAGACTTAGGGGCTCAAAATTGAAGCAAGGGCTACTAGGGGGTAGCACGGATTATTGCTGGCCTTAGGTCTCAGCCAGATCCAAGGCTGAAAATGTGCCGCCACATGGAAAAATGCTCCGGCCTACCCAAGGGAGGCCGAAACTTGAAAAAATCGAGAAAAAGGCCCACAAGGCCTTTCTTCTTTCAAGTATTGTTGCCCCTTGGGCATTAGGACCCAAGGGGGCAGCATTTGAGCAATGGAAAAGAGGCCGAAGTAGGCCAAGAGGCAGTCCAAGTGGTTGCGAGTTGGTACCAACCACTCGGACTGCATGTACTTAGCCAAAATGAGGCCCAGGTACCTCCAGAAGGGCCTAGTAAGGGAATTTTGCCTTGGGGGTACCTCTGTTCACCCCAAGGCACTTGGAGAGGCTCATAGGCTGGCCGGAATGCTGGTTTCAGCCTACATAAACTGAGGATGCAGTCCGCTACTCCCACATTTGCATGAGGAGTGCCCATGCTGCCCAAGTGAGCTCACAGGAGCACCTTTGCACTTGGAGTAAGGAGGGAGGAGCCCATCTAGTGGGAGAGCTTAGAGGAGACAAGGAGGTAGTGGGGAGGACCCTAGAGGATAGTGACGGTGGGAGAGACACTTGGGAGGTGATCCGCCATATCCACCCTGGGTGTAGGAGAGGAGGAGAGGCTAGAGGAGCCCCATTAGCCCTCCTAGAGGGTAGGACTCCATAGCCATAGCTGAGGAAGCTTGCCATAACCTGGGAGAGAGTAAGGAAGGGAGAGAAAGGGGCTTGAAGAAGAAGGAAGCCATAGCCAAGAAGGGATTGTGCAAGGAGTGGAAGCTTCATCGAGAAGACACCAGCATCAAGGAATCAACAAGGTGAGAGGAAGGAAGAAACATCTTCTTCTTCTTCTTCTTCTTCTTCTCCATCTCCTTCTCCTCCTCCTACTTCTTCTTCTTCTTCTTCTTCTTCTTCCTCCTCACTCCCTCTTTCTTCTTTCTTTTTCTTCCTCCCATCTTCTCCCCCTTCATCTTCACCTTTCTCCCCCATTCTCTTTGTCTTCTCCCCCTTCTTCTCCATCTCCATCTCCCTCATCTCTCTCCCCTTCTCCCCCATCTACTTTTACTTTACCTCCTTCCTTTCAAGGGCTGCTCAAACTCTCATCTTTGACTTGCACACTAAGGGGTAGTACTCCGATTTTTTCCTGGATGCTTCTTGATGCAATCTTGGTGATTTGGGCTCTCCAAACTTGTGTTTTTCACTCTCACACTAGTAGGTAGTATAGCGCTACACTCANCAATCTTGGTGATTTGGGCTCTCCAAACTTGTGTTTTTCACTCTCACACTAGTAGGTAGTATAGCGCTACACTCATGGATGCTCCTTGATGCAATCTTGGTGATTTCGGCTCTCCAAACTTGTGCTTTTCACTCTCACACTAGTAGGTAGTATAGGGCTACACTCATGGATGCTTCTTGATGCAATCTTGGTGATATGGGCTCTCCAAACTTGTGTTTTTCACTCTCACACAAGTAGGTAGTGTAGCGCTACACTCATGGATGCTCCTTGATGCAATCTTGGTGATTTGGGCTCTCCAAACTTGTGCTTTTCACTCTCACACTAGTAGGTAGTATAGCGCTACACTCATGGATGCTTCTTGATGCAATCTTGGTGATTTGGGCTCTCCAAACTTGTTTTCTCGCTATTTCTGTTGTGGAAAATCGCGATAGCGCAACATCTGAAATTTCCATTTTCGTTTTCCTTCTGAAAATTTAAATTTCGTTGTTGAAAATCCGGAATATCCTTCGTTTCGAAAATTTCGATTTCCTGTTGCATTTCCCGTTACTTGGAAATTCGGAATATTTTTCTTCCGAAATTCGTTTTTCTAAAAACGGTACGGGAAAAATCCCTCTTGCGGGTATTATTTTTTAAACTGCGAATACTCTCATCTGAGTAAGTCGGAATATTATATTTCTTTTCGATTTTTTTTTTCCGCAGTTCTAGGATTTTGTTAAGTCACAGTTCTATAATCATTTGCAGTCTGAAGTCGAAAAGTTTTTCTCATTGATCATTTCGCACTTCAAGGGAGATTGGGAGACCTACTGAACTTGCAAAACTCAGGATTTTTATTATTTCGATTTTTTTTTTGCAAAGTTCAAGCTTTTCTTTTTTGATTAGTGGCTCCTTATCTGGGCGATTCTTCCCACCCACCCTCCCCACCTATGTTGTTGCCCCCTCTAGCCTTACCTTCTCTATCCATCTCCGGGTACCCCCTGCGGCGGCATTGGTAAGTTGTCATGTTAGCAGGCCACATCAGCAGACTATGTCAGCAGGCCACATCAGCAGACTACGTCAGCAGGCCACGTCAGCCGACAGTAGTGCCACGTCAGCAACAAGGAATACCAAGCAGGCCCCCAGCCTGGTCTATGCTGTTGCGTTCACAAACATCCGTCATGGACTAAAGGTCCAGCGAAACAGGCGAGGCCTATCAGGCCCGGATTATCAGGCCCGGATGCTGGCCTGGAGTACCGAAACCAAGAAACCGGCGGATGACGCAGCAACAGCAGCAAAGAAGAAGGCAGAGGACGCCGAGCAGGCACGTCTACTGGCACTTGAACACCAGCGCCAGCACGACGAGGCAGCAGCAAAGGCTGCTGATGAAGAACGAGTTCAACGGCGGGAGAAGATATTTAGCGGAGAGCAAACTTTGCTCACAATAGCAGCGGAATAGCAGACCGAGGCCGAGAATGGCAAGATGGAGGATAGTGAAAATAAGATCGCTTTACTCCTCTCCCATCTCACAGACCTCCTGGCGACATGCATTACACAGCAGGAGGACATCCATAGCCTCGATGACGCGCTGACTCAAGTCCACGCCCGCCTCCGGCAGCTGGAGCAGCGACCTGTCGCCGCCCCCGATGCAAGCTCTTCCAACACCTCCGATCGCCTCGAAGCATTGGAGATGGACGTCGGCTCCCTCAAGGACGGCGTGCAGTTACAGCAGACCGCAACGCAACAGTTGGAACAATGGATCTGTACTACCGCCAACAACTCAAGTTATGAACCGCGCGAGACAGCTCCAAAGTTTGACGGGCAGGAGATCTTCTGCGACTCGACGAAGACAGATCCGATTCCATGGTTCCGCAAGTTCGAGCTCACGCTGCAGCTACACTACGTCAAAGAACACAAGCACCATGCGTACTTATACTCCCGGTCGGGGAGCGCGTACCAAGCATGGTTGAACAATCTCTTGTCCAAGTATGGAGTAGTAGCTGGCGACTTGCACACCAAGATCAGCTGGGATGATCTGAAGGCGGCGTGGCACAAGCGGTTCCAAGTAGAGCCGCCGGAGATCAAAGCAATGGACAAGCTAATGGTCTTCGAACAAGAAACGTTATCGAGTGTCCACTGGATTGCCGAGTACCAATGCTTGACATCAGTCCCAGACATCTAGATGGGCTTCAAAGCCATCCGCCACTATTTCATCTCAAGGTCGTGTCCGACATCACGCAATGCTCTTTGACAAGGCCGCGCAGATTATCATCACGAACAAGGAGGCTAAGAACCTGCGTTCGTCTGCGCCAGGCCCGAGCAGAGACCAGCATCGACCAAGAGTGGTCATGGTCGCGGCAGCAACGCCGTTTGACCAAACTACCGAGGCCGTGTCTGCCAATGAAGGGGACAGACTCGCAGCCGCCCGGAAAGGTGGCCGCCCCGACGAAGGCCGAGGACGCGGCAAGACGAAGACAAACACCGCATCTAGCCCCGGGCCTCGCGTAGCAGCTCCAGCCCCATGGTCCCAATACGGCATCTCCGAGCAAGCATTCAAAGCGCATACGAGATTCCACTACTACCTATGGTGCAACAACGATCTCCATAAGATACTGGCTTGCCCGTTGAAAGGCAAGGGCAAATCGAAAAACTGAGCACCGCCGGGAGTGACTCGACGACACTCTCGACGCCTTAGGAACCGGTCGCTTTGCGGGTGACCGCCCTTCGTTCCAAGGCACATGCGGAAGTCGATAGTCCTCTTTTGTATTCTTTTGAGGACTATGCTGCCCGGCTCGTTCCTACGCTGGGTACTCGAGCTCAAGGACAAAACGTGTGTGCGGCATCTTCTCCGTCCGACAGCGGCGACTTATCGTCTTCAAGTGGTTCTTCACGGGATTCGAAGCGCGAGTTCAACATAGAGGTATTGGACCCGCTCACGTCCGAGGACTTTCCATGCTTCCTCTCCCGACCACGGGCCGCTTGCCGGGACCGCAATGTGCAGCACTACGCGCTCATCTCCAAACGTACTTATCCTTCTATGCACCACCGACTTCCCCGAGGGATGACGAAGTCGCGGTGGGGGACATCCTKGCGTACGTTACCAAGGTGGCCCGCGAGTTTCGCACGCAGCGGTACTATGACAACAACAACACAGCTCATGTATGTCCGCATCCAGGTTGGGCAAGCGTCCTGCAGCGCTTTGCTGGATAGCGACGCGTCTCGCAATTTCATGAGCCAAGCCCTTATGCAAAGGGCTGGCCTTGGCGCACAAGTTCGGAGAAAGGCAAACCCGATGGCGAYCAAGTTGGCGGATGGAAAGACACAGCAACTTCTTGACCGTTACATTGAGGCTGTACCGGTTTAATGAAAGGCTCAGCGCTGCCTCTTTATCTTGCACAAGTCGCATAGGCAGCGCTTCTGCATCGCTCACAGGCGAATGAATGAAAGGCTGAGCGCTGCCTCTTTATTTATACTGTTTCGTTGGTGGTCTGGCCTGCCACCGGTCCCAGGCCCGAAGAGTGGACAGTCCCGCTTGGTACTTGCTGACTGTACAAGGTGGACTGGGACTGGGGGACTGCTGACTGAACTATGTAGACTGACCAACTGACCCCTACAGTCTTGAAGAGTCGATTAGCGACTTCTAGAAACTCCTAGCTAGGTAGACTGACCCTTCGCTAGGCCTTAGGGCTACTTCTCCTTTGCTCACTCAGCTGACTTCTAGAAGGACCTAGGCTAGACAGATAGACCGACTCCTAGGACTACTAATTGTAAGGATTACGTTTTGAATCCCGACGTCCCAACTAACGCACAAACACTAACCTACGACTTTTTAGGGACAGCTCGCGGGTTCGAGACTCACGGGGTCTACAGGCAGGTCCAGGGATCGAGCCCTGGGGTCTGTGCAGTCCCGCGATCTGGGGGAAACCGTTTCAGACCATTACCATAGTCAGCCTGAGCCTCAAGGACGTATCAACATCAACACCACCATGCCTACATCAGATTACATATCATGCATGCATCAGACCATATTTGCAATCACATCCAGTCAAGTCGTTCTGCCGTCAGCACGGTTGACATCAAGACATTATCGTTCTCCACCACATTAGCACAAGCCTGTATGCGTTCCAGCCTCTTGCCCCTGGCCCCACATTCCCACCTCACTTTTTTTAATCCCTAAGAGTTGGTGCCTTCTCACTGGGTCTCAATGGATCAGTCTCCCTTTTCAACCCCTGCAAAGTGTGTGTGTGTGAGGGCCACTCACAGACACGAAGAGAGGGAGATGCTCGGTGAACTGCAAGTTCATCCTGAGCGTGAGAGTCAATCTTGGACTGACTGCAGTAAGGGGCATTGAGAACAACCTTCGAAGAGTTTGACATTTTCAAGTTTCCATTGCCGAGCCTGGTGTTTGGCCATTGTCCTGAGGCAGCAGTCTCCAAAGGGAGTGTTAATACTGGTAGGCAAAACAAAAAGGCTAGAAAGAAAAGGACAGGTAATCCCGACAGTATCACTAAGCAAGCAAAACAAAAAGGATGAAAGAAACGAATCCAGACAGTATCGCTCGGCAAGCACACACCTTATCAAATTCCTCAAATGCAAGCGCCATCAGATTCTTTGCCCCAAGCTCGCGGATTAGCTGATTTGCAAGGTCCCGTGATAATGCATCCACGAAGGCAACACTCCATACAAGTGGATCAGAGGCAGCATCTGTTGGCATCATTTTCATAGTCACGGCCCGCCGACGCATGTGCCTTCAAGTCCAACAAACAAATTCATGAACACAGTAAATCCTCAAGCAGTTAAGACTTCATGATACATACATGTACAGGCTGCACAGTACATTGATAGTAAATAAGATAAACAGATGGGTAATACGTGACAAGATCTTCCATCAGACGAAAACTAGTTCCACAACCTAGGATTTCAGGGTCATTCGAGTGTTGCAATTTTAGGGCATACTTACACTACGACTCCCCTGGGTGTATTTGACATAAACTTTTCCAAATTCAGTCCTGATAGTCCTCAGGTGAGGATGTCGTGCTAAGGTTTTGCTGTGCAGGGCTTGAGATGAGTGTCATTCAGAAGCCAGCACAGTAGATCGATTACAAGCTGTACATGACAACAACAAAGGCCAGCACAGGGGAGGGGAGGGGAGGGGAGGGGAGGGGAGGGAAGGGAAAGGAAGGGAATGGATGGGAAGGGGAGGGGAGGGGAGGGGAGAGGAGTATTTGACAAAATTTTCCAGATTCAGTCCTAATAGTCCTCAGGTGAGGATGTCGTGCTAAGGTTTTGCTGTGCAGGGCTTGAGGCGAGTGTCACTCAGAAGCCAGCACAGTAGATCGATTACAAGCTGTACATGACAACAACAAAGGCCAGCACAGGGGAGGGGAGGGGAGCGGAG